TGCACTGCTCTGCGTCGCAGCGCACTGCTTCGCGCTGCTTTGCGCTGCTCTGCGTTGCGCTGCACTGCTGCGCGGTGCCTTGCTCTGCTTCGCATTCTTTCGCACTGATTCGCGCTGTGATGCAGAGTTTGAATGGCATAATTCGGCCCTTGTCTATTACACAGACGCCAGCGTTTTCGCAAATTTGATGGTTGAACCCCCAAAGGACACTTCAGACATCGAAATCAAGCATACTTGCGCCCATCCCCCGAACAAGTATCAAGCCTGCAAAACCGAGCAAAACGGCGTCCCCAAAACAAGAAATCATCAAGCTTGCAAAACCGAGCAAGACTGACCCCCCCCCAAAAACACACATCATGCTTGCCAAGCCAAGCAAAGCAGTCCCCCATCAACAATCATCAAATTTAGCAACACAGACCCCTCCAACAATCATGAAATTAGCACAACCAAGCAACACAGACCCCACAGAGCCTGTTTGATAGACACGGGTTAATGCATTACTCCATTCCATATCTCACACCACATAGACTGCACCACATATATTACACCACGCATCTTGCTCTACATAGCTCACTACATAGATGGCACCACATAGCTCACACCAAATCTCTTTCACCACGTGGATTGCACCACATAGCATCACATACCTTACACAACACAGCTCACACCGCATATATTGCAATGCGTATGTTGCACCAGCATAGCTTGCACCACATTGATGGTACTGCATGCTTTAGCACCACTTAGACTGCACTACATAGCTTACACCACATAGATCGCACCACATACATTGCACCACATAGTTGGCAGCACATCGCTTAGACCATGTAGCGCTTGCCACATATATCTGTACGTTAGAGCTCCTACCACATCGATTGAACCACCTACTTGCACCACATAACGCGGACCACACGTATTGCACCACATACCAGTCACCACATAGCTTCCACCACATAGCGTGCACCACGTACATTGCACCAAATGGCTTACACCAAATAGCTTGCACCACATGCATTGCATCACCTAGTATGTTCGAACACAGTTTTCTGGGTTCACGCTTGCGAATATTCAATCTTAATTCCGAGGACTATCCATCCGTGGCGACGCGAAGCCCACCAGAGGCCGACAAAACAGAGTCCGTTTCGATTCGGCCGATGCGGCTCGAACACGTCCACCACAACTCCGATCCGATTTTGGATTAATGTTGTATCTCCAGTTTCAGACTTGCCAGCCGACGCTGCGATTGCCGACTCGGCTCCGATCTCAAAAGTGCGACTGGACTCCGATTCGGATCCGGCCTTCCGATCTGGTGCTGGCCCCACAGTTGCAGAGGCCACTCGCGAACCCTGCCGCTGCGTGCCCACTCGATGTGCTGGGGCGCCGGACGCCCCCCCCGGTGGGCTTCTCCTGGCTGCAGACCCCCCCCGATTCTGGGTTAGGGGGCCACATGCAAACCCTACCCCTGCCCTCCTTGGTTTCTGAGTGGGAGGGTGGGGTTCACTTCGTCCGGGAGCTCCCGGGCGAAGTGAACCCCACCTTCCCCCTGGTAGGGTTCGCATTTGGTCCCCTATGGGTGGACCGCTGCCGCTGTCTCAGAGGTCGGACCTGCAGGCCTGGAGCTCATGCGTTCAACATTTTTAACATGTAAAAATATGTTAAACACATGTTTGACCCATAATTTTAAACACATTGCACATTCAGTGATAGGACTATTAGGGTGTCCATTGTCGTGGCATCCACAATTCTAACCTCGATGAAGGCGTGACCGGCGGCGGGCCGCGATGCCCTACGACGTCGGCGCGGTCCTTCCGCCAGGTCGGGTGACGTTGGGTCAATGCTTGTCCCTGAGCCGTGGATCTGGCGCCCCGCGCGCCAGATCCACGGATCCCTCATCCATACTAGCGCGCGCCCGAATCGATGGGCCTGTTGTCCATCACCGCCACCATGAGTTGGAGGGAGAGGGGGTCCTCCTCCTCCTCGCCCTCGTCCTCGTCGTCGTCGTCGTCCTCCTTCTCCTCCTCCTCCTCCTCCTCCTCCTCCTCCTCCTCCTCCTCCCCCTCCAACTTATGGTGGTGGTGGTGGAAGACAGGCCCATCGCGAACCCCTGCGTGGCCTTCGGGCCTCGGCTCCGTTCGGTCGGCCCCTGCGCCGCTTGTGCCTGCTCTCTGGCCCTCGCCACACATTTCGGTTTTTCGGACCTCCGTCGGCCCCCCCCTTGTCGCTTTGTATGACTGCCTGGGAGCTCGCGCTTGGCTCTTGACCCACGCCCAGAACAAACATAGCGCGCGGCCGGATGACCTTTCGACTCCCCCGCTTCGGTTCGCTTCGTTTTCGACCGTTCCCGATCCCGAGCCGATGCGACTCTGGAGTCCGATTCAGATTCCGACTTCTCGATGGAGGCCCTACTTGCCTGCTGGTTTCCACCCAGTCGAATTCTCCCGACTTGGCTGTCCATGTCTGCCGATCCGATTCATTTCTTTCACCCGTCCGACTTCTCGATTCGATTCCGGGCTCTCCCTGGAAGAGGGTTTGGGGGTGGATGGGGCCTCTCCTCCCGAGCGGTTCCCTGCGAATTCCGCCGATACCATGCATTTCGATCGCCGATCCGACTCATCGATCCGGTTCTGGGCTCTCCTTCGGAGGGACGCCAACCATACACCACCACCAGCCTTGGCCAGGCACCTCCTGGGCCTCGGATCGGTGCACAAAGCTCCGGGCCTAGGCCAGGCAGGCCCGTACGCCAGCCCCGGGCCCACGATCGACCTGGCCAGGGCTGGTGGTGGTGTACAGTCGGGGCGCTGAAGACGGAACCCTTTTCGTTGGGGAGGGGCTCGGTGTTCCTTGATAGTTGTACAGTTTGCCTTGGGTGCTCCTTTCGTTTTCCATGGGAAGTCAGAATTTAACTTAACGGAACAAGGGGCCTCTTTCCTCATTTAGGGTTCCTCAGGCCAAGGCCCCGACTGTACACGTGCAGCGCTGCCCGGGCGTTCGGCGTGGCTGCGTCGGACCCGGCGGGCTGCCGGGAGGCCGCGTGCGCTCCGCGGTCGGAGTTGTTCAGGAGGGGAAAAAACACACAGACACAATTAATCGGCGATTCCCAGAAAATATGGGAAAATATGGGAAGTGGTGGGGAAGACAAAAACCCAGAAAATATGGGAAAATATGGGGGATACTTTTATTTGTGTGTATTTATTTGTGTGTCCCAGTTCCCCTTCAGTTGTGGAGAGAGGCGGTGGTTCGCGCCTGCTCCTCCTCCTCCTCCTCCTCCTCCGCCCTGGGCTCGCCGCAGGCCGTCGCGGGTGAGTGCTCCGACGTCGAGCACGGCGACCAGGTCCGCGGCCTGTGCCCCGTGACGTGCGGGGCCTGCGGAGGCGCCTCGCCGACGCCCCCGCTCGCGCCTCCCGCCCCCCCCTCCTCCCGCGCTCGAGGGTCGATGGGGGGAAGGGGAGGAGGGGGAGGAGGAGGAGGAGGAGGAGGAGGAGGAGGAGGAGGAGGAGGAGGAGGAGGACGACGACGAAGAGGATGCGGTGGAGGATGAGGAGGAGGCGGAGGAGGAGGAGGCGGATGATGATGATGTTGATGATGCTGATGATGATGAGGATGATGCTGATGCTGATGATGATGCTGATGATGATGTTGCTGCTGCTGAAGATGATGATGATGAGATGATGGTGGTGATGATGATTGATGATTGATGGTGGATGATGATGATGGTGGTGGTTGTGGTGGTGATGATGATGCTGATGATGCTGATGATGATGAGATGATGCTGATTGTGACGGTGATTGATGATTGATTATTGATGGTTGATGATTGATGATGATGATGCTGATGATGCTGATGATGCTGATGATGATGCTGATGATGTGAATGATGCTGCTGCTGATGCTGATGATGATGGTGATGACGATTGACGATTGATGATGACGATGGTGATCGTGATGATGGTAACGATGATGATGATGATGATGATGATGATGATGATGATGATGATGATGATGATGATGATGATGATGTTGATGCTGATGATGATGATGATGATATGATGATAATTCTGATGACGATGATGATGATGATGCTGATGATGATGATGATGCTGATGATGATGCTGATGATGGTGGTGGTAGTGGTGATCATGATGCTGATGATGCTGATGATGCTGCTGCTGATGATGATTTCGATGAGGATGAGGATGAGGATGACGATGACGACGATGATGATGATGATGATCATGAGGATGAGGATGAGGATGAGGATGATGATGATGATGATGATGATGATGATGATGATGATGATGATGATGATGATGATGATTATGATGATGATGATGATGATGATGATGATGATGATGATATGATGATGATGATGATGATGATGATGGTGGTGGTGGTGGTGATGATGATGATGATGATGATGATGATGATGATGATGATGATGATGCTGCTGCTGCTGATGCTGCTAATGCTGCGGATGCTGATGATGCTGATGACGCTGATGATGTTGAGGAGGAGGAGGAAGAGGTGGAGCATGATAAGGAGGAGGAAGAGGCGGAGGAGGAGGAGGATGAGAAGGAGGAGGATGAGGAGGAGGAGGACGAGGCGGAGGAGGAGGAGGGGGAGGTTGACGAGGAGGAGGAGGACGAGGAGGAACCGGTGGAGGAGGAGCACGACGAGGAGGTGGAGGAGGAGAAGGAGGAGGAATAGAAGGAAGAGGCGGAGAAGGCGGATGCTGAGGATGAGGTGGAGGATGATGATGCTGATGATGATGATGATGATGATGATGATGATGATGATGCTGATGATGATGATGATGATGATGATGCTGATGATGATGATGATGATGCTGATGACGATGATGATGATGATGCTGATGATGATGATGATGCTGATGACGCTGATGATGATGCTGTTGCTGATGCTGATGCTAATGCTGATGCTGATGCTGATGCTGATGACGATGATGAATATGCTGCTGATGATGCTGATGATGATAATGATTTCGATGATGCTGAGGATGATGCTGCTGCTGATGATGAGGATGATGAATATGCCGCTGATGATGCTGATGATGCTGATGATTTCGATGATGATGAGGATGAGGATGACGATGACGATGATGATGATGCTGGTCATGATCATGAGGCTGATGATGATGATGACGATGATGATGATGATGATGATGATGATGATGATGATGATGATGACGATGCTGATGCTGATGATGGCGATGATGATGCTGCTGATGAGGCTGATGATGATGCTGCTGATGATGCTGATTCTGTTGATGACGATGCTTAGTATGCTTATGTTGCTGATGATTCTGTCGCTGATGATGCTGAGGATGCTGATGCTGATGATGATGCTGATGATGATGATGATGATGATGATGATGATGATGATGATGATGATGATGATGATGATGATGATGATGATGATGATGATGATGATGATGATGATTCATGATGATGCTGATGATGATGCTGATGCTGATGCTGATGATGCTGAGATGATGATGATGATGATGCTGATGATGATGATGATGATGATGATGATGATGATGATGATGATGATGATGAGTCTGTTGCTGATTCCGGTTCTGATGATGATACTGATGATGCTGATGATGCTGATGCTGCTGCTGATGATGATGCTGATCATGCTGATGCTGATGCATACTTGACGATGCTTATGATGAGGATTCTGCTGATGCTGATGCTAATGCTGCTGATGACGACACTGATGATGCTGATGCTGATGCTGATGCTGATGCTGATGATGATGATGATGATGATGATGATGATGATGATGATGATGATGATGATGATGATGATGATGACGATGATGATGATGATGATGATGAGATGAGGAGGGGGAGGAGGATGAGGAGGAGGAGGAGGA